ACATTCAATGGTATGGGAAGACAGTCAAAGGTATGGACAGACATTCGATGGTATGGGAAGACATTCAATGGTATGGGAAGAAAGTCAATGGTATGGGAAGAGAGTCAATGGTATGGGCATACATTCAATGGTATAGGAAGACATTCAATAGTATGGGAAGACAGTCAACGTATGGGAAGACAGTCAATGGTATGGGAAGACAGTCAATGGTATGGGAAGACAGTCAATGATGCGGGAAGACAGTCAATGGTATGGGAAGACAGTCGATGGTGTGGGAAGACAGTCAATGTACACTTCATGTATATCTAACATCCATTACCCAATGTAATCCAGTGACAAAAAATAAAACCAACATAATTAGATAACTATAGGTCACGATGCGCCTGTGCCGTTATCTATATTTCGCTCGGATACGTTTTGAATTCAAAACACTTTCTGAACATAAAACAGAACCATTAGCGATTACAGCAAACGTTGAATTTTATTTGACAAACAACGTCAGCTACATAGTACATACTTGCTGTCAATTCCTGTACCAACTCATGCCGTGAACAGACTTGAACAAATTATTTAAATTTGTCATCAAATTACTAGTATAAGGTTATTGAACATTGTTTGTATTAACGATTAACGATGGTAGTACGAGTTTTCTGTCATTCGCAATGTCAGTTCGGTTTTGGAATCCTCGTTCTACACACGGATCAGCCTCCGAACGCCTTTGTTTGTTTGAGTGAGTTTACACCAGAGCTGCCACACACTCATGCTCTAACATGGGAGAGGTTCTTTGAAAGACGACAGTCATTCTGACGTTTGTTTGAAACGTCTGTATACTAACACATTATGTCAAACTGTGTCCGCATCAATACCTAAGACAGTCTACCGTGAAATGTAAGGGCGGTGGTCGTCGCGCCACGCATGCGCGAGATATGGGTCTCATATAAACAAAAATGACGACTTTGAATACAAACTAAAAGGTTACCAATTAGGTATTTTGTTGTTATTGGAGGCTATGGAAGTGGTCGCCGCTGGTAAAACTCGTGGCCAAGGTCAAAACTCGTACTCATGATTTTCTTTGATAGTCAATTGTGGGGAAATCAATGTTTATCAACACAAATGTCGCACATGCGCGGCTCGACAACCACCGACCTTTAAGCAAGAGTCGACTTTCGTCTGCTTTGTGCGACAAAAGACTCTCAGAATTATTTAACTAAAATATCAATGACTAAATTAATGAATATATTGATTCTGTCAATCTCGGTAAGTGACTGATAGACACTGTGTTTGGCAACGCAAGTAGATCGTGTCGTCATATCCGGAAAATCTCTGAATATCATCTATTACCCAAATGCATTCTGGGACATTCTCCAGAAAAGTAACGAAACGTGTCTTAATTTCTGGAGCGATTTTTGAAAGAATTTTGAGTATTATCGAAATGCCGAATTTATTTTCGGCTGTACATGTTTGGCAACATTTTCACATATTGTATAATATGTGATCAATTCTCCAACAATGCAGCCTGGGTGATAGAATACATACGTCATATCCTGAATGTTCCGAGATGGAATTGGTACAGAAAAGCAGCAATATACAAATGATTACAAAAAAAACAAAAACAAAATTCTCACGAACAACTATCGAAAATTACGGCTATGGATGATAAAGTTACAAGAGATTTGTCTGAAATCATTACACTGCTAAGTTCAACTTCAATCTCGGGTAGAACAGCGTGGTCAATACGCAGAAGACTTCCAGCGTACTTGATCTCCTCGGCTGTATAAACATTATTTTCATACCGGAAACGTGCTTTGGGTCGGTTTCTAATAAAGTTTAAAAAATGCGTAGTACAAAAATATAACTTACAATATAGGAAAACGTTTTAATATTATTCCCATTATTACGTAATATACCTTACAGTGTAATTGAGATCCCACCTTCATTGGAACAGTTTTCTAAAGTAAAAAAAAACAAACACCATATTCAGCCTCAATGGTCCAGATATCATGGAGGGATACCTGGAGCACAATTTGTATGTAAATTGTGGTCAATATTCCATCTTAACAAGAGTGAATAGAATCCCCGCTAAAGAAGCATGTATTTGAATACAGAACTAGTGTAAAAAAAGCGGAAGACAAGCTCTCAATAATTACAGTCAGCTAGATTTGTTGCCTAAAAGACTTAGAAATAGCGCATCATTATAATTGTATTTCTGCATTGGAGTTTAAGACGTTGTAAAAACGTTTCCAAGTGCACTCATTTCTAAAGAAATTGACAGATGCATGGCACCTAACCGCCATTTAATATAGCGAACATAGTAAACGATGTAAATTTATAAATTATTTAAATTATAATGCGGAAAATGGAAATTGCTACATAATTCAAAAAGTAACTATAAACTACGCAAATTTTACATTTCCATAAACAAAACAAAAGTTTTCTTTCACTTGTAAATTATTTTCGGCCTGTAATTAACATAACATTTACATGATAAAATAATCCATTTCGATGAAAAAAAATTTGGTTGGAAATGATAATCGTCAAATGCATCTGAAACCGCAAGTTGCAGGTCCGATTATATTAAACATTGTCAATGGCACTGCATCGTATTCCTAACCATAACCTTCATACCTTGCGCACATATGTACACGCACCAGACCTACACACAACGTCATCCTGCGTAGTACGAACCAAATAGTGTATACTGTAATTTGACCAATCCCGTGATCGATAATACAAGACACTGGACTGCGATTGTACAGTTTTGTACTGTATACGTGTGCATATAGCATAGTGCATTGTGGGATAGTTTTGTCTGTTTGCACGATATGAGTTGTAATTGCGATATGATCTCTGTATATAGGAACAACTTCTGTGCATCCATAGTGCAATCCATTTCAGAAAGCGTTAATCGTGATGAACGTAAATTTAACACTAATTTAACTTGACATCGACCACGTCCTCATCATGTACTTGATCCGTGTTTCATAATATAGCTATGACCCGTAAATGTCGACAAGCGCCACTATGGAAACGACAAGACAAACTCAGTGCTATTTATACATACACATATATATCCATATACAGATTAAGTCAATGATATTACGATTAATAAAACACTAAATTGTTACCATCAAATTTACATAATTGTAGGTTGGAGTGAAAAACATCAAGATTTTTCTCATAGTATGTATTTAAAATAATTCTGGTAGTTTAGAAACGTGATTTTTTTTTAAAAGTCGAATGTGACAATGAAAAGCACTTTTTGGAAAAATCGTTCTGGTTATATACTGGGGACATGAATAAGGGTGTTTTATCATCAGTGTTAGAGACAACTACCATGTACGTTTCAAGGCAGAGATGCTCATGTTCTGAAAACACATCGCGTATTTGCGCCATATGTCAAAAATTCTTTGGTTGGTTAAGTAATTCAATGTGTTCTTTACGCTTACAGAATGGGAAACCAACATTATTAGATGCGTAACACAGGAAGTTGTTGGCATGACGATCGTAAACATTACACATGCTATAAATAAACTCGACAATTTAACTTAAAGCGGAGTGTCGTCACCCGCACACGCGCGGGAATTGAGTCCCAAACGATAATAACAACACACGCTAAGAGCGCAAAGGCTCATGGGTAGGCGCTTGTTTGTAAACAATGACACGCTATGGCCACCTTACGCATGCGTAGGTGACGACTCCCCCGCTTTAAGTGGAAAACCGAGAGAAAGCAGAATGCTATTAGCATTATTCTCTCCTTTCACAAGATTTGGTTCATATTTTTTCGATTTCAAAGTAATATATTAATCAATGTACTGCCTTATTCATTTGATCGTCTTGTCGACCAAAACTGATGTTAAAACACACAAATATATAGATAGGTGTTCCTCATTCATTCCATAGTAATGCTATGCAAGTAGGTACTCCGGTTTGTATAATTGTATGCAACTCAGAATAAAATATTTCGATTTGAAATTTTGGAATGTTTCTCTACAGTCTGTTAAGTTTTTAAAGGATATTTCTTCAATGATGCGATACTCGCTTGTGTTCACCTGACAAATTTGAACGGAAAATGGAGCTGTTAGTAGACGTGATCAACCTAATAGTAACCATTGCTATGTTTACCTATATTCTCCATCGCCTTCCGATCTGTTTCGATCAAACTAATAATTTCTTTGACATAAGTAAAATGAAGGGCCTACTGTAAAATTGTGTTTATAATATATAAAAGCAATGACGTCATCTAACCAAATATTTGGTAAGGGGAGCGATAAGCGTCTTGGAATGATATACTGTATATTTAAGATCACGTATAAAATGGTACAAAAAATCTGTTCATGATATGCCAGTAATATATTTTTTTGATTTCTTTGTTGTTCAATCAGACGTCATATAGACGGAAAAGTTGTTACTATAGTTACCAGACAAATGGCCGCCATGTTTCGCCTCATTTCCCATTCCTCACATGAACTCAATTTTCGTTCCCGCATTCGACATAGAGATATTCAATTCAGTTGCCTGATTTGATTCAACATGGATTGTTATCTCCGCATCCATCTGTGGAATGAGGTGTGACAGTGTGTAATAGTGTCACCGCGAATTAGCCTTTTCCAATTTCCTACACTGCTTTCATTTAAGTAGGAGTTCGATAGAGGCGCATTCACTTTTACGTTAAAACGTACAGTCAATTACATCACCAATTCAATAAGGCGGCGTAAATCCGTCGTCAGAGGTACTGAAGAAAGGCGTTGTTTGGTATGTGTTTGTCATATTTGAGAAGGAATGTGTATGTTCGTCACATGCATGCCATTTTTTGTATATAACTACTAAACACACTACACAGTGTAATAACAATATAACTACAACTGGACATGAACTTTTACCTCTGACTGGCACCGAACACGTGACAGACAGACAGTCAACAGTAGAATAAAAAACTTGAAAGGTTAAAATGATGTAGATTACTACTCTCTTAATTTCTCCTCCCCTCCATCTCTTTTTCACCCTCTTCCATTTTCTTCTCCTCGTGTCGATATGACCGGGCTACTTCATTGGCTTTGAACTCATTAAGTTATTATGAGGGGTAATCTTTCAACTCGACACCATCGGGTGTCCTGTCATGAACCTGCTCATACTCCCTCGACACGCTCTTTGTCGTGTCCTTTACGTGAGAATAGTTCGCCGCTAGACAGATCAATGCGTGTATCTGTGAGAAAAAATAGCCACACAATGAATATGCAAAGTATGTTAAATCAACACAACAAGTCTGACTTGTTTTCAATAACCACCTGTTTTCTATAATGTTATGTGTTTCATTTCTGATAATATCTACATGTGTAGTCTAAATTTGTAATTTTATTGTTAAATATGTTTTATATATATATGCCTCCAAGTTAACCTTATAAGCCATGCAGTATTGGAACGTAGCTTGTTAAAGCGGGAGGGTCGTCACCTGCGCACGCACGGGAATTGAGTCACAAGCGACGATAACAACACACGCTAAAAACGCAAAGGCTCATGGATAGACGCTTGTTTGTAAACAATGACACGCTATGGCCATCTGACGCATGCGCAGGCGCAACTTTACGATCTGTTCTAAAACCAACAATGCCTAGCAGGAATACAACAAACTGCCAGAAACTGTGCAAAATATTTATATTACTAATTTCGTAAAAGGAAAATGTTGACAGATAAAGCAACCCTCTCTCGATTGACACATAGTTTAGTCCCCGTGTCAGAAATTACGAGCCTCCTAGAACATTCGATACTTTATCAATGACAACATAATGAAATAAAATATACTCACTAGTCCTACAACAACGAGAGCAGCTCCTCCCCACGATAGTGTATAGTCCTCCCATATGTCAATACCCTGTACGCAGATTAGACAGTTATCAACGTTAGAAATTGACATGCTCTGATGCGTTTGATTAAATACGTATAACATGTACATATATATTCTTTGTTGAACATATAAACAAAGAAGTAAATTATACATACCTCCTTACAAAATTGTATCAACCGTTCGTTACACAAAGTGCCATTGTCTGCTTTTCCAAGACCTAAAAATAAAGTTGCAACATTAAAGAATGTTAATCTTTCAGAGATGAATGCGGTTAGTATCATCTTTTTTTTCTATAAATCGGCATTATGGTTAATTCGAGTCTGGTTTAGTAAGTAACGGCATAATATTTAATTATAGATACTGGATTATTTATTTTAAACCAACATGGTTGTTTTAAAAACATGCACAATTGCGTTCGTTTTGATGAATACTTAACTAGGTAAACGCATGCTCCTTGAAATACTGTCACTGTCAAAAGAACGTTTCCGCGACTACAAGGTCACGTTGAAGAACGTAAACGTGGGATGACTTGAATCAATCAAAATCATATGAAATTGTATTTCAATATGGGATGACACTTGAATCACGCGGCTTGGTGGGTATACGTATTTTATAAAATATAACATATAGTTAGCCTTTGGATATTCACACTTTATGATAATAAATCTAACAAGTCTCATTGATACAAATAGACACAGTAAGAAATGTCTGTAACCTGACCTTATTTATATTTCACATGTTATTGTACAATACTTTTCGTTAAAGGTATGTAGATTGAGTATTTTGAACATGTCTAAATAATTGTTTTTGATAAAAACATTAGGGTATGATTGTTCAACTCTAATGTGCATACGTTCTGGATCAACGTACAGGTATTACAAACTCTAATGTGCATACGTTCTGGATCAACGTACAGGTATTACAAACTCGTGTTTTCAATATTTCATCAAAATAATGCTGTTATGTGACATTACGTGATAAATCATGCCATAATGTCTTCACGACGACGCAATATCAAAGAAAATTATTTGAAACATGCCCAGGCATACTCAAAGGTAAATACATTATTTCTTCAAAAAATACAAGGCCAGTTTGCCGGTGAACCCCTCTGTGTTTAAATGGGACCTACTATGAGAGTAATGAATGATTGCACCCTGAACATATAATCAGAAGGCAACGCGAGAAAATGCAAGACTTGTTTTTGGCCCTCATATAGTAAGTATTCCATTCACAATGTTTCAACTACCATAGCTATACATGTCACGTGAATAATAGATGTGATGACGAGAAATAATGAAACACCATTTGAAGGAAAAACAAGTATCATTCTCTCGTTCTCAATGAGGTCTTGACGACTATTTGCGTCTATGGTCTATTTGTAAATTCATGTCTCAAGTTGTGGCTACTTTGATACATGATATGTGAACTTCTGGGCTCCCAAGGCGAGTAAAGTGATTACTGTATGAAGTTATGATGTTATTTGTTTACAATTATTTTGTTTTATCTTGCACATGAAAATACGAGATGTACCATGGGAATATCACAGCAGATGTTAATTGATTTGAAATAACAAGGTTTAGACAACAATATTATATGTCCAATGCATTGTCTAATCTCACTGTACACAACGAAGAAAGGACTCACCATATTGGGCTAGATCGAGACAACTTGTAGTGTTGTTGAACACGGTTTCATAGTCGTTCCCGCAGTACACTCGTAACATACTGCTGAATAGTACGGGTACGACGATACCACAGGCCAGGATAAACCACACTATGGTTAATGCGTAGTAGATCAGAAAAAACTGTAATAAATAAGTAAATTAGCTGACCAACTGACTGACAAAACCACTGTGGCATTTAGTATTATTCATGTGTAAGTACAATTCAGTATAATTACGTAAATATTTCAGCTGTTGGTGAGAATTCAAGCCAAGTCAGTTGCCTTTAATAAACAATATTGTGAAATACACGTTTCGTTCTGTGTCCACGTGTACTTCTATATATGTACAGAGAACGGGTATGTTCAGAGTGTCAATCGAAAGAATGTAAAAGAACAAAGGTGGTTTATATTACACTGCTGTGCTAGGTTTGTAAAAATGAACGTTGCTTAATGAGTGTACTTACAAATATCAACGCGACTCTGCCACACATCCGTACACGATATCGGCTACATAATTGCAGTCTAGTGCCGTCGGTGGTTAGTACTCCAATAACGACTAAAATGACAGCCATTCCAGCAGTACCACCTGTTACCCCATACGCACATTTGCTTAAGTATTCCAACCTATAGGGAAAATAGATACATTTCATCATATGTATTACAAATAAAATACTCATAAACATTCTGATATTTTCCATATGAGAATTTGAAGATTGTTCTAATATCTCTGAAACCTTTTCCCAAAAATCACAGCATGCTGTAATTTTAATCTAATGTAACATTTAATTGGTATAAACCATTTAAATTAAATATTGCCATATTACGAAATACATCAAATCATATGTGAGAGCCTCGCATCAAGTGTTTTGGTAAACTTATTTTGCGTGATTGATCACGTATATAATGACTGTGAACTTCATACACCATATATAGAATTTGACGTTAATCGAATCCACAGAGTGACTTCCCTCGCCCCGAAAGTATGTGACAGTATTATAACCAGATCATCTATAATTTCCCATTCTTAACTAGTGTTATTCGAGGATATTCACAAATAATTCGATGCAATATTTTCCTTTCATTTTGTTTGTAAACACATAAATTTGTAATGCATGACACTATTCTACTTCAATTTTGCAAATCTCTCTGGCAGCCATAAAACACTGACATTGTTAAATGTTATTGTCAATGTTGTAATGTGTAAGTGAGAAACACATAACATTGAAAACATGTTATTAACATTTGTTTGTTCAGCTAAAATAAGTTGTTTTGTAGAAGTGAGGTTAGACGTAAATTACTCACTTTTAAAAATAGAATAATTCACATTATTCATACATGTGGTGTGTCAACATGTGTTCAATTTGTTCAATATGTAACCTGCGAAATTGCATGTTACACGCGCGCAACAGTTGCAATCAAATACATTGACTCAATGTAAACATAGACCATTCCAATCATATTATACTATTTTACCATGTGGGTTTTGAATAATTATCGCTATTTGTAATGCATAATGTACATAGTACAATAGCTTATAAACATTTGAAGTGACCAAGAAAATCAGTGCAATAATTAATTCATTAAATGTTGTTATACATTTTTTCCAAAAAAATCCATACAATTGTTTTGAGTGAGTTAAAGCCAAATATAATTGAGCAATACATTGCTACATTGCATTGTGGGAAGGAAATTTTGGGAAAGCAATTCCTTATCAATTTAACGAAAAAATGCTATCACAGTGGGAATGTCTAAACTCGGCAGCGGACAAAGCACTTTCTAAGTAATATACGAACCACAAAGGAAGGTGTGTTTATCACTCTGAACTGTGTAGAGTATAAGCAACTTTTATCTATACGATAAAAACACGTCCCACGTCATAACAAAACTCATTGTAATATATTGACAGAATCTAAATTTAGTGTCGTACTTTATGTGTTGCTTGTATAATTAGGAGTTAGATAGGAGAAGATTGGGTCTTTTGAAAAAGAATGTACTGAAAATAAATAGCAGAAGAAGCCATACATTTCCCAGCATGCCTTGCAGTTTATACATCTTTTTATGGCGAAACATAGACCCTCCCTCTACTGGAGCGAAACAATCACTTTTACGTCTTGTTTTAGTACAATCCGCTCATGAATATATCTCATAGCTGATACATATACCCATGTGTGTGTAGGTTGCACAGATAACGTATCACAAGTCTGTTTTCTGGTGCTGGTTTGGGAGTGACCAAGAGATAAGTAAACAACTTAGCCACAATGTTCACTAGTACTGTTAATCGTTTATTTGCATAATCCTAATTTATTCAATTGTGTGTAATACGCTGCCGCTGTGATTGGATGCAGTTCGCAGTACAAAGCTCTTGTAAATTAAAAAATATATATTCTATCTGGGGTGAGTTTGGAAACCTGATGTGAAATATACTCACGAAGCTTTGTAGTTGTCATTCTCATCCACACCATTGTCATTAAATAATTGTTGTGTCCCGTCTTCTGCTCTTAGGGCGTACACACAGAATACGGAAACACCAATAATAATAATAATGGCGGACGCTGCAGTGGCATATGGTACTCTTTCCATAAACCGGCAACATTTACTATTCCAGCACTCGCACTTCGCTAAAATGAAGATGTATGATTATTATTATTAGAAACGAGGACATATACAGACAAACCAGAAATCTAGAAAGAATTTGAAGTTAAAAAATAAAAACAGAAAGAAAGGTGTAGAAATTAAGAAAACAAGAAATAAGGAAGAAATTTGGAAGAAGAAAATTAAATAGAAATAAACACCTGGCCACGACATAAAATATATTCAACTATAAATCATGCGAGCACATTCACAAGATCATTTACGGCTATTGATTTGAAAAGTTTAGTACATTTGAAAAGTATGTAAAAAAGAAGTAAATTTTTTAAAATTAAAATTGCGCTCTGAAACGCTCGTCCTTTGACTAAAATATTCATCTATGTAGTACATATCGTGTCCCCAACTTTGTATATGGCACATCCCTAACCACTCCTTCTCTCTCTTGGCGATATAATCACATAGTTATCTGACAGAACAGTCGTAATGCATTCGCGACTAACACATATTAAAGCCGCGAAAAGTCGGATAAGACGAACTGCGACATAAAAGAGATACACATTATGATACAAATACATGTACAATATTTAATTTTCTATTACATATCTCATGTGAGATGTGGATTACAAGGTTAAGGGATTGGGAAACAAACTCAGCTACACCAATTATACAATATTGGCACGTATATTATAGCCAGTCCAATCACTTGAGTATGTGATTAGTAGATAATTTTCCTTCAGGAAGTCCACAAATTGTCGTCTCACCTTGATATTTTCCACCTCAACAACTAAATGCTCTTAGTAAAATTCGATGGCGCGACCCCCGAGTGGAAAAGCGATTTCAACTCAAGAATAGTAGACGCATAACACACACATAAAAATAACTGAAGTGTTAGTTTTCTGCTTCCCTTCATCTACACTCTAAGTCCGGTTTCCATGACGACGAATGGACTCGCTACTGAGTCTTTCAAAATGCTGATATTCGATGCCTTTAATACCGAGATCCTATATTTAATAAATTTTGCTGTTTTCTGCTTGTATATATTTGAGTGTTTTTGTTAACAACTTTTAATTTTTATATTGTTCAATGATTATTTGGAGGACTTTGTATAGAAGCATATCATCTATTATTCTTTACACGATATCCTCCATATATATTTGTAGGATATCCTAATAAATGTCAATACTCGTACAGATATAGAATTATCCGTAGTAATACAGAATACATATTTACATTGTGGCACTGCTCCGGAAAAGCAATATTATTTGGAACGAGGCCACAAAATTAACTTCCTGTCCCTGTTGACTTCAAAAATAGTTCCGCTAAATTGACCCGAACACTTTTGTATGAAAGATTTTTTTCTTGGGATGAGTTGAATTCAGTTCAAAATTATTTTGCTATTTGAGAATGCCAGGTTTGAAATTCGCTTGTTTATGTAATCTGCGTAAGTACTTTAGCGGCCATCTTTGATGTTTGTCCTAAACAGTAACTTTACTACCAATGTCTTCAGGAAAATTTGATGGATTACTCGTGAATCGCCGAGGTACAGGTAACCGTTAATCATTTAACTCAACTTAAACGAATGTTTTGAATTAGAGATCGTGATAATAAACAAAACATTAATGATGTCGCCGTCCTATGGTAATTGGCCCCAGTGCTATTTGCACTGCATGGATTATCGCCAGCGAGAATGATAGTTAACAAGTCAAAAGGACGTTTTTTTGCCGGGAAAACTCACACATAACCAAAAGCACAAGTAATCGACAACAAACATAACACTTCACGTAGAGTACCCACACGTATGTATAGTGTATGTTTCTTTTCCAGCCGGACCAATTCCCGTTATTATAATTTAAAATGAAAAGAGCGGAAATTATTTCTTTCAATATAATAAATATAAATAAATTGATCAGACACTATCTTTAATGAAATCTCATGAAGTTAATCACCGTCATTTGACAGCGTTAAGTGTAAGCCAGAAACGCGTTGAAGCATGTTCAAATTTAAATTGCATAAAACAATTATTTTGCCACTTGACGTAACCGCGGATACCACGTGACGTAACGTGATGACTGATCTGTAATCGCGTCTTTTAGAGCGGGTTAACAACATGACATTATACAATGACTTGTTTTCTGACATTTACCAAGAGAAAATGAGTCATGCAAATTGAATATAATAGCGATAAATAGACCGTCTGTGATGATGTCATATAATATTGCACCTTTTTATGGCAATAATTCATGTTTTTTTATACTTTATAATTCATGTTTCTTTTTTTATCAAGTAACACTTATATAAATAACATAAACATTCTATGTTGATTTTATTTTGTCTGGGGATGGAGGCTAAATCTGTTTTATTGATATCGTGAGCACGTGTCGAGTATATAGCTGCTGTCATTATCCAACTCGAGAAATGAAAAGGGGTCATTACAAAACCATGGGGAGTAATGAGTAATAACGTAACTCCTGACGTACTTAAACGAGTTTGACATTTAAGTCATTTCCATCCACATGAGCTATATCCGATCATAATGGCATTGTTATAATAGCCGACAGTCTTAAGGTCTCATTCCACTAATAAATGCCTTGCAAGAACCAATGAAATTTTTTTAATATTTTTTTTCTCAGGTGCTCCCTGTTTGAGGGCGTGATTACCTGGGTCAAAGGTGAGACCAACATGTGGTCTTTTGTTTACTACTTAGCGACTGTGTACCTGTGAGTTTATTCTGTGTGTATTTGGATGTTCTAATCTTGGTGTTTTTCCAGTGATTTCTCTAGGTTCAATCCAAATAAAGTAGATGTGTCTTTTTTACCAGAGATTTGCAAGAGTTTGAGCTGGCCAACATGTTAGTTTTGTTTTCAAGTGATTGATTACTGGCATGTTGATTTCCCATTTTTGAGCAATGTGTTCAACTTTGTTCATCATTTTCATATATCAATCTCGTCATATGTTAACATTGTTGTCTATGGAATTTCAATTAGTGGTATGGGCCCTGAAGACAGCTATAGTTATAAACTCACTAGTTGTGACGGTGGTACGTGGGTAGCGAAACCCTTTGTGATGAACGAACTCATTGCAGACCAGTCAACAGGGCATCTGACGCTAATACAACGTACAAATCCAGGCTAATTTATCCAGTCTTTCATAAAGCATCGATAATGGTATAATCTGAACAAATCCAGTAATCCAGTTTTATAATACAGCACGCACGTGTTTGAAAAAGACAAGGAAACACAAGTTCATTGTCAACTTCAAGGCATATTTTAATGGCCTGGATTATGTATATATAGTCTGATATCGACTTTTACGCATGTACTTATAATTACTAATACGTACGCGTAATTCAACACGCATGCGCAGTTGTGTAGCCCGTTATTACGTTCATCAAATGTACGTTATCTTTTGACCGAAAGGCGTTTTTACGATATATGTAATCACAATCCATTATGTCAACCATACACGCTCAACATACTGCCTCGTAAGTCAAAGAACATATTCACAGATTTATCTGTCCCATCTCACGACGGTAGATAACTAGAAAAAACGGATAATGGAAGTTTTTGGAACCACCGATGGGAGCAGTTTACTGAAGCATTTCGCTTTTTACCACAATAGTGATTTTTTATTTCACGTTGAAATTGAAGACGCATTATAGAAAAAAACATATTTTTTAAAATAATTTATAGTTCTGATGCAACGTGATGAAGACTAAAAATGTGATATTTCGCAGTACACACACAACACTATTCGCATATGTAGTGATTGTTAGTTGTACGTACCAAAAATTCAATGTACATGCGTATTAAAAAAAGCTATAGTTTCATCAAACGAATACTTGTGTTTTAGTTTTGTGTAAATAATAATCGTACAACAGTATTGAAAATTACATGTTTTCGCCCATATTGCACCTTTATTTTTTACAAATACAAAATACAACACACACAATGTAACCATTAACCTCGATAAAAATGCTCGGCGTCATATGGTGCGTTGATTCGCTTCAATGACCCAGGCGGAACCGACCTTATTATTCACGCACGTTTTCAAAATTCCCAGTACAAGTATATTGCACGAGTGCGTCTTTTCAGGGGGCGCTGATCAATATAAGGAGCAGCTGATAAGAAAACCCTGGATGGTACCTTAATATTAATGACTGTCTTCCTGTCACATTTACCCGTGCATCTGCAGACATTACGTTTAGATAACACCCCCATAACTGTAAGCAGATGTATGTGAATCTCTCATTTTTTTCAATGAAATAGGTTTGATTTTAAAGAGATAATGGGCGACGGCTGGCGTTCGGATAAAACAAAAAACGGTTACCATGGAGTCAAGTACTCACTTGAGTCACTATATCAATGTGCATTATTCTGACCTAGATGTTTATTTCGTGTAGCGTTCTACATAAGCCTACATAAGTGGGTTCTAATGCCATTACCGCCAGCTTAACATAATAAATTGTCGTAGAACCAGTGTTTACCCTGAATACAAAATTAAATATTGGCGTTTTCCATATTTTAATTTCGCTAAGACTACTCGTATTGTTGTTGCGACGCAAAATTATCACGTACAATATTTGTTTTATAAATGAAAAGCACGGGAAACGTGAATTAATTTAGCGATGTCTCATGTTGACAAACCTCTCCACATTAAATAGGTCATATATACATGGCATGCGTCTATTGCCTTCAACTTGAATTCAAAATTTTAATGTAAATGTAAGAATTGGGATAATCACTATGACGATCAGTATATTGGAATTGAACGATGAACTCGTTATTATCACGGCGTTGCCATGGATACGACATTATTATCAGCTGTGTGAACAATCTGATCACAATATTCTAGTTATTTAAATTGAGTCAGATGTGTTTATAATTATTTAGAATTACATATTGTAAGCTGTAAATAATCGCTGCACGTGTCAGGTAAGTGTTGGGTCATACGACAACCTATGGAGGATTCATCCTAGGAATGAAATATTCAAAGACTACAATTGGGACTTATCAACTTTTTCCAATGAGCACATTGTGAAATTTAATAATAATGTTTTAATTTTTGCCCATATTAATATTTATAATATACACATGCGCAGAAACATGCGTAATTTTCGTTAAAATTCAGATTCCGAGCCACAACGTCGCTGTCGTAAAAGTCGCCAAGAGCCATGCGCCATTTTGGAATTCATTACCAGGTTTTAAATGGCTTGAGGCAATGGTCGGTAATGGTCGGGATTCCAGTACGTACTTTTCATTCTAAGATGACGATTTGATTTTAAACGAGGTCGCGCGGATGATGATACTTGTTGAAAAAATACTACAAATCCGTGTTAATTCTAAAACAGGACGGTAGTCATTAGCTGACTTCACCACTTGCATAAACAATTAAAGCAGTCCCAGGCCAAATGAGAATATATCATCATTCATGAAGAATCAAAGCAGCAAATTGGCGTTCGTGCACTGCAAGTCAATTCGTTTGTCTCCGCGCAGAGATTCCGGCTCTATACTTTCCTAATATCATTGTGCGTTTAGAGGCAACATTTACTACGCTACCGCACATAAAAAAGCTATACAAAATCTCATGTTGATAATAACAAACGGCGACGATTTTCATCGCACCAACGTCCAATTTGGTTTCAAATTACGAAGTGTGTGAAAATTACTATAATCATGTCGGAGGCAGATTAAATCTAGTACGGATGGCAATCAATTGATGTTGGCATTGCGTGATTTGGAAGTCGGTTAACGTGCAAATACAGCATTTAATTAAACAACGCTATTATGATATAGTTTCACCTTCGTAACTGTTGTAATAATCGGTGGGAGACTGATGCTCATAATCCGGCATCTAGACTATCTATCTTACATGAGATTTCCGATAACGTCGAAACAACAAAAGAACGATTTATGAGGTAATTTGGAATATTCTATCAGGAAAATGTTCATTGTTAGAAGTAGTCATAGTAACATTACACGAAATGTGATTGGTAAACAGGGAATATCTCAAATCACGATATTATGTAGCAATTCAGTGTCTTTACTGCATAACTGTCTATTATATTTGTTTTATATTTGTTGATTTCCCCTAAGGTGTCAAGGCAACAAGAACATCGACAACAACAACAAACACATAAATTATATGAGTAATGATGATTTCAAAACAAGAGTACATGATTCGTCCAACATCAACTGAAAAAAAACTCAACGGAAGTGGACTCAAGTGGCTAACGATTAGAAACATTGTCACTAAATATTCCCAGAACACACAAAACATTAAAGGTTTAAATTAGACCAAACATAATAGGTCAAAAAACACAGCGCGTGTTCGTGGATGAATAGCAGGAGATGACCCTGCGTATGCTAGCACTGCCATCAGTTGAGTAGTTTTAATGACCGGGGGCCTTGAAATGATTGATTATGTGTCATAGTACGTCAACGAAGAGCATCAGGAATACGTGGATGTGCCGTGATAGATCGGCAACAATAAAGTGTACATCTTTTAGAGGAGTAATAAGAGATATGCTTGAGACTACGTTGTCGTTAATAGAAAATACGCGCCAACAACTTCAACATTGGAAAACGCGTTGCGTGCCCTAAAGTACGTATATGGTTCGAATAATTGTAAGTAAGTAATATCCGCTGTAAACTAGCAAAGGTCCACGAAAATCGGTGTAAAATGTCAATGGTGATTTGTTTTGGCGGAGCACTGTGTCTGTTTTATCATAAAGTTCTTACCGCATATTTACGAGAATGTGCACATTTTTCAACTAGCGCGGAGCGTTGACGCCATTTTGCGTTAAAGCATCTACTTTCGGTCTAAGTCATGTCTATTCATGTGCCTGGAAATGTGTTCATTCTACAACTATTTAAAATGTGCGCATGTGCAATCGAAATATCTTTGGGTCACCGATACTTCCTAGTATCTGAATGATGGACTGATTATTGCGTTGGGTAGCAGGGAACGGCATTTGGGAACGTACCATATGCGAATAAACGGTGTCTCGTTGTTCGCTTTTCTCAGCATTGTCGATTTTCATCGGTCAGTCTATAAAAGTATACTGAACGAGTAATGGTTTTCTAAGTTGACATACAACATCGTTTTCTTACGTTACAGGAATAGGCGGGAAATCGCAGTCAATCAACTGTGAAGAACGATGTCAGGAGATATTTTATACCGACACCTTGGATGAACCCACTTTCACGTATTACAATGATCCAAGAGTTCTGCCTTGTTATTATAATTGGGGTCGACGAGTGTCATGTATGCATAATTAATGAGAGCATAATCAGTAAGGGTGTTTATATCATAGTTTATAATACCCATAAATCACCAACAATGACGATTGTTTATTTAATTTTAAATAACCATAATTTCTCGGTGCGTATATGTAATCATAATAATATATTAATCTATGTCTGTGTTGTGGTTTAGGTATAGATAATAGGGCGACCACGTGTAACCTGCACGTTCATCTTAATAATACATGTTTATGATGCTGCCGCAGAATGAAGGTGTGTCTCAAAAAAAAAAAAAAAAAAAAAAAAAAAACTCGGACTGCAGCCATGTTTTTCTTGCATTCGACCAAACAAACAAACAAAATAACGTTGTCGTTTTGATGACACCTCACTATTGTGTATCGCACACACTGCTCTGTTTTAGTAAGCTCAGCGGACTATGACTGGGAAAAATTTGACACAATAATATACTAATCATGCCAATTTCGATAAAATAAAACAAGGGACTATTCCCCTTGGCGAAATTTCGCAATTCAGTAACTAATTTAATATTTACATTTTTTTCAGTTGTTAAGCGTTCTTTTCAGCTGTTATTATTGTGTCGCCTCCTACACAAGGCTAGAACGATTAATGGCTAGCGTCCTTACTTATAAACACTGCTGACAGTGGATGGCTGACAAAGCTAAGTGAACATAGAAAATGATGCGGCGAGATAATTGAAATTGGGAAGAACAGTTTTAAACTGGGTACTATAAATGAACGACTACGTTAATTAAACATAACATACTGCAACATAAGGAACAGCGTTTACATAAAAACAGAATTCAGTGAAAACTCAGTGTTGCCTTGAAAAGATGATGCGCGTATACGCGTGTATATGGGAGTGTATTGAAAACAGAAATATCGTAAAGCAACTTACACATTTTGAAAATATATCTTGCACTTTTGTCACTTGCTGAGAATTCCTACAAACAAGATTCGATATCTTCAGCGGCGAAAATTACTCAAAATTCTTCACACTATATATAATAATTTATATATATAATTCTGCGAATTGCGAATCTGTGAGAACGCACCCGTCGAGCCTGCAATAGCCTAGCAATCAGCCCTAAAAGTCATATGCAAATTAGATTCTATTCAGATGCAAAGCGTGGCTTATCTCCGGTGAACACTATTCGACAAGAGGTAGCTAGCAAATCCCGACAATAGAGTGCAGCGAACGTGCGTTGGGTTTTAATCATCGTCAATTAATTTTGACAGTGCATGGCCATTCGATTAACGCGAGGACCTGACAAGTCAATACAAATGCGTATTTTGGACTGCGCATCTACCCATGCCTCTTTGTCGCCGCCAACAGCAACGGTGGTCCACCCCCGCATTGTCGTAACTCGTTCATTGACAAGCCAATCGCAGAACATGAAATGATTGCGCAGAATGTTCTCTGTATGCACGAAATGCAGTCGACATCGCCTGATATATGTATACAAAAAAATCATTAGATAATGAGGTTGGAAAATTTCACGAGTACAATGCATTCAGTGAAGTATATCTGCAGAGTTCTCAAGCCTTCCTACACGAAAACACGTACTGTGTCACATACGAATAGGCACACTCACTTTTTGAGACACGACATACTTAGTACCACAGCGATGTTTGTTTGTTTTCAAATCGCCACGCCCATTCTAAAAAAAAATGTTTTTATCGAGTTTCAATGTGGTCATGGCAACGTATTATTATCTTGCTTAAAACGTCTTGATACCTTTAATTTCATAGGTGAACATTGAGTACGTTGTCAATTTCGAAAGCGATGTAGGCGCCGTATGGACAGACACGTTAATCATTGGAAACACAGACCCCAGTTATTGTGTACAAATCGTTGTTGGTGATTATGTTATTAACAATTTCTGAAATACTTCTGTATACTTATTTTAAACATTCGTCTCAGTATCGTAGGACGCTTGTTTATGAGTAAACAACTCTTATTTACCAAAAGTTTAACAACTTGGTGAATAGAAATCTAATTAGGTAGCATGTCAAACACAGGGTCAATGCATTTATACTGTCTATATGTTCTTAGTGAAAATATTGAACTTTATATTCAAGCCACAAAAACATAATTATATCAACGTGTGTTTCACAAACGTTATTTAGGTCAGCCAATTGTTCACTCAAATTGTCGAAAAGCGCGGCGTCTTGTCATTTTGTACACGTTCGTAGTATGTTGATTATTTTAGTTGTTGCCACACGCAGTGATATCCCAGCGATTGATAGTGACATTTGTTGTTGTCTTTTCTCTATTTTTTATTTTTTTACTTTATTATATCACGAACAATATCTCAATTAAGGATACGTTTATCAATAAAGATTATTATTATTATTATTCGTTACACGTCGATTAGGCCACGTAATTTTACTGGATAACCCCGCCTGCAGAAGTTGTTGTTGTTTGCATCTGGTTTACCTGTTTGAGTCATCACATTGGTCAAGTTGTTCTGTTTACTGTTTACTCAACCGCGGTTCAAACCCTAAGACAGAAATTATTACCGTTTCGGGCATTAATTAGCTTTACAAATGGGACTCGTTCTTTTTTATTTAATGGGACCAACTGTTGAATAATTAGTTCCGCGGGTTAAATCAAAAGATAACCAGAGGAAGGGGGGGGTCTGCGGGTACTATTTGGGAATATAACGATTTTGATAGAACTGAATAAATGTGGGACTTGGCGACGTTTTACACAATACTCGACCCATCTCATTATTCGCGTATTCGCGTAAAGATACGCAGAAATAGCACAGTATCACGATCATTTGACAATGATTCAAACGTGACAGAACGTACAATATATGTGTGGTAATATTCGTTATGATATGTAGAATATGAGAGGTAATAATGTAGATGTAATCGTACAGCAGTTTAATTATAGCGGCCTTGGAAATTAACTACATGCTAATACATCAGATAACACGCCCGCATGTGAAGGATACAAAAATAATTTAGAAATGCATTTAGGTCATATGAATTTACATGTTACAATCGTACAAGTTGTTGTTGCACTGTGGGTGTGTCCTCGACATGTCACCGTCTTTCAATCTTCAAAATTCAATTTTAATGACTAAAGAATGCCACCGGGGAATAATTCCAACGTGGACAGACTGAGGTCATGGAAACTGGTTTTACTTTGAAATTTTAAATGTCACGCACAAATATGCAGAAAAAAGGCGCATACACAGAATATTAAGGAATCGCATTTCTATGAGAATTGAGCCTGAGATCGGGCAGGACAATATTTAATTCAACATATTGTATAACTGCAGACGATGACGGGTGTCAATATGTTCGTGTGGACAACAATGTAGTCTTGGTGATGTCGGCGTTATCTCCGATGTATAAGTACTGTCTGCTGTACATCGTTGTGTCTTCATGGTACCCTTGATAGAGTGGCGCCATGTTACTACTACCGTGTCATTCGTCACGTTCACGGCGCCTAATTAAATTCAAATGTCTCAAATCCGCTGTATGTATGATAGTATTCATTCTTGCCTGCTGTACTGCGCGGAAGATTAATAACCAACTCTAATGACTCAACATGATAAATGGTTATGGTCCCCGGATTCTCGTAAAATTCACTTCAAATGGGTTTTCTCGATCGTGAACTCAAAGAAAAAATAGAATACTATTAATCCTATTCTGTGCCGTTAAGTAGAAAAAATTGTCTGAGGATGTCGTATTACTCTCTCGAATACTAGGTGGCGCTCTTTACGAATACTACTAATAGTTTCTGAATCCTCGGGGGCGGAGCTACGTCGCAAGACGTTCCACGTTGCTACGACGCGCACCACTGTACACGCATTTCTATGGGCTCTGTGCGCGCTGCTGTGGAACGCCGGTCGAGCCGGTGAAAATTCGAAAAAAACAACACAAACTCAACTTTGAAGTAATCCCAAACAACCAAATTTATATATGTTACACACGTAGGGCTAATCTTGTTACACTGTTCAGAGGAGTCTCAACAGTTATCCCAAAGTACCGTTTTCTGCGAGTTTTGGGCCTTTGTTTTCACCGCCGCGGGTTGTCAGGCGGTGAAAATGCCCGGATGTCCGCCCCGAGGATACGTCAACGCTCGGGTATATCATGCTTGTATTTATTATATTTGTATGTATGTATGTGTGAGTGAGATTTGAGTTTTTAGTGAAAACAAATGATTGGACCGGTTTTAAAAAAACACGGATTAACTCATTTTCAGGGAGTACTACTTGGTCTTTGGCATTAGTTTATGCAATCTTTGGTATAGGATTCTTTGCCCGTCATTTTGATGCGTCGTAGGATCGTATAATTACGGAGTCTTGTAACCGTGTATGCCCGCTAACACCACAGTTGAAATGCGACTCGGAGGTGATAATTTTTTTTCACTAAGTTTGTAAAATAACTTCTTTCAAAGAAAGGAAATATGTGTGTAATTATTTCCAGGTAGAAAGATATTGCATTTTCAAGAAAAAAAGGTGGCAGTATAAACGATTAGAAAATGTCTGTTTAACATTGCATAGAAATGAAGCCGATTAGTGCAAAAATTAAACGCATACGCAGTATGTGGTACATGTGCTAATATGTCTACTAACAGCATGGTGTGTTCCGTATACAGTAGTCTAGTTCCGTTTGTTAAAAACCCATGTCATTTTGCAAATTGTATATTGAGGAAATTAATATATTTTACAACCCAATGAGTTATTTTAAATTCCCTTCAATCAAATACACAATCATGCATAAAAACAAAACGCACAAGCATTCCGACAACTTTTTGTAATACAATAACTTTTCGTTCTCATGTTTGTTTTACAAAAAACAGCGTAAATGCTGAAAAAAAGTGCGATCTTCACATTCTGTATTCCTAGTCTTAGTAAACGTCACATTAGTTAACAAGTAGGGAAATCACATAGTTGATAAATGTAGTGCGCGGATTTGAGTGTAAAGAAGGGAAGTTAGCACACTCGTATTCAGTTCACTTATTTTTCTGGATTGTCAAGACATGTTTTTATTTCCCTGTGTGATATAAACAGCGCGTGAATGTCATTTTGGTTCACAATTGCAATCACAGAGAGCGTCACACCTAGTGGTTTTCCGTAATAAGCGTCATGTTGTTACTGGCCGTTATTCCTCGCTGCAAATTTTAAAGTAGCTGGCTCGAAAGATTGTCGCTGTTGTTGAGAAAGTGGAGTTATAAGTGAAGTGAAGTGAAGTCGTAAAGCAGGCGTGGTCCTGGCTTCTGAGAGGCAGTGTCAGTGGTGGAAATTGGGTGACTCTTTGTCGGTGGGGGAATTATTTTGATGCTGCTTACTACTTTAAATAAGTAACACCACGGTTCATCGGGAATGTTGTTTCGAGTTACGAACCGCAACGCCCCATTGTCCCGTGGTGTTACCTGTACTTATGATTCCAACAGTGATGTGACTCGGTGTGCATGTGTTTTCGTTGAAAGCACACATTTGTGTTTTATGTACCCCTTTTTTACGTTTTTTTCAGACCCATTATCAGATTTTGACAATATTCCACCTCCCAGTAATGGTCCGAGTCCACCCTCAGTCCAAGGCTTTGTGTGATATTACTTCCAGTGCTATTGATTTCACTGGGATAATTAGTTTGAATAGTAACAAACATAATAGAATAGAATAGAAATAGAATAGAATAGAATAGAATAGAATAGAATAGAATAGAATAGAATAGAATAGAATAGAATAGAATAGAATAGAAAAGTTCAAGACAGTAAGCACGACCACAATAAAACAGTATGATTCAAGTTTTCTTTAGACAGCGTGCAGCCAGTGACCTAATTATACTACTCATGCGCAGTAAGTTTGTTTTCACTTTTAAGTATCTGTAGATCGGCAGCCATGTTCCGTTTTTTGTGGCCGTGAGAAAGTTTCCCATGATATGTGTTTAAATCAAAGGAATACATGTAAGTTTGTTACGTCAACACCACTTGCGCAACTGATAAGGGTTGTAGTTTCGTCATAAAATTGAGGAAATCGTTGTTTTTTAAACACTGCCCGACGGTGGACCATGCCATGGCAAACAAATTCTTCCCTGTTTTGATCGGCATAGGTCAATGTCTGCAATGGTATGTAGGTGTGTTGTTTTCATTCTGATCAATAGTTAGTGGGTAATTACGTAATACACTAGTAAACAGTGTCGCTATATTGATATCGATATCCCCAAGATGAAATTTTACCTACTATTTCTTATTTACAACCGCAGTGTCACCTCTCGGCTTTTTGTATTCAACATGCAATAGAATGTATTTCCTTGTTTCGCTTATCAGTTGGGAGCGGCGGGGGGGGGGTACTAGAGCTGGTACATAGAGGTGAAGGGTCCAATTTAGATACGTTGTCATGTTGTCGAAAAAGTTGGAAATCAACACGTAACAAAAAAAATATCAGTATGGGGAGAATTATTGACTGCTCCATTAAGAAAGCAGTTTCATTTTCAACCATGTAGTTCAAATTTATAATAAACTTGTCAATATCATCATCACCAACATCACCATTTTTGAAAGACAGTTTTTAAGGCTGCCTTTTAATAGCATATCTTCCATGCAGAGATCTATTTCTATGAATATATTTTTGGTGTTCTAGCCGCAAGGAACTCTGGGAAGGAGAATGCATCTAGCGCATAAAAGACCTGACTGCATGCTTTTTGAAAACCAATAGCCATGGAGCACATGTGGCCAACAATTTTTCATTCAATGTGCATACGATTTTGACTCATACCTTGCCCTTGTTAGCATAGTATGTCAAACTTACATGTAGTTGTTGAGAAACATGAGTTTGGGCAAGGTACAAAACTTATCTGAATAAAATGGCCATCACGTATATATTTTTTAAACAAAATTTTATTTGCTCTTGGTTTTATTCTAAAAATCTCAAAATCCAGCAAATACAACTACGAATTTCTTTACAATTTCACTGAATTTTGATTCAATTTCCATTATGCTACTAACAATAATAACAATATATTTGGAATGCGAGTGAATTTTTTTTTAGCAATAAAAAAAAAAAGAATAAACAAAAACATTGAAAATGATTAACATTTAAGTTTATGTGTTCCTTACTGTGTAATGTATTCAATGCATCATTTTCTGTCATTGTCATGTTTGGTGAACTCAACAACGATGCTGAACTTGTGCTTTGTACCTCAAACATTGTACGGTTTACAAGTTTGGAGAACAGGCTTAATCAAACATTGCAACATATCGATGGAAATATTGATTTATGTCTGTGTTTTACTAACATTTTTTGAAAATGGCAAAAAATAACAAGCAATGAAGGTCAATTTATTTGGTGTTGGACCCTTCTCTATGACTGCCATGAATACAATTTGTGTACAACTGAGGAGGTACAAGGTTCGTACAAAATTGGAATGCGCTGTGTCATAAAGCTTGAACATTTCAGTGTAATCATGGGTAACAACGACCTGACAGTGTGACAGAAAAACAATTAATATTAACTAAATTAACTAATATTAACTAAATTTTATATGTTAATTATGTTGGCAGTATGTGTTTTGTTTATATTGTTCTGCTAGATTGACTGAATTTTAATAATTGCCATAAACCTGTGTCTCTAAATGTATTTGTTCATTCAATGATATATTAAATTAAAATCCATGACCCAACAGTTGTTGTCTACTGTCGTTGAGTACACCAGTTTGCATGAGAACTTCCTCTCATTTGAAATTCAATAGAGTTTGTCCTGTATTTCACCAATCTGAGTCATACCCATTTTACAACAGGATGTGGTTGTTTTACAATTTTAAATTCAAAAAGTTTAATACATCTGCAGTTAAATGATCTTTCATTTTATATTTACGTAATATATTTAAAGCGAGTGTGTCATCATCTGCGCATGCAATAGATGGCCAAAGTGTTTCAAACAAGCGTCAATCCATGAGCCTTTGCGTTTTAAGCAGGTGTTCTTATCATTGGTTGGGACTCAATTCCTGCGTGTGCACAGGTGACGACCCCTCTGCTTTAAATATTAATATATTAAATTTGTTCAATTTGTGATTTGGGATGTTATAAGCAACTTGTCCGTCCGGAGAAGGGGTGTCTATTAACAGATTATACTATAATGTACTGTTATTATTATATCACTGTTATGAGTTTGATCGATGTTTACAACAGAACATACATGTACATATAGTTGGAAATGATATCATCAATTTATATGTACATTTTTTATCTTGAAATAAACCCAGAGGAACATTTTCTTTACCAGATACATAGCAACATATTTTATTAGCTTTCTTTGTGAAATAACTGGTTGAGAGTATGTAGATTACCAGCAGTTCTGTTATCTAAATTGACCATTCATGTTCAGTCTCAGTGTTTGTATTATTATCACTATTCACATAATTGTTCCATTACTAGTTGTATTCAGACATATCTTCCAATTCAGTGGCCCCCTCCAAATATACATGGCAAGCCATGTGTAGTTTAACTATGTTTTATTTTTGTTACCATTTTTATTACTAATTTTGCATCAAATAGACATACTTCCTGATAAAAATTTGTGAAATAAAAAAAATAATAAATAATTTTACTTGTTTTATAGCATTCGACTTGGTTAAGTGACATGCTTTTCTCACTGATTATAAAACCAACTTGTATTACAAGAAAAGATGGCATACGATCAGCGCAGCTCCTTTGTAATTGGCTGTGTTCTACTTATATGCGGTACATCTAGTATTATTCTTGGTTGTATTATACTAGTATTTGTTAGTAATTCTGAGTATACTTACACCTTTGCTCCAGTATGGAGTGGAATTGTGGTAAGTTTATGTTAATTATTAGCTATTAAAATTAAAATCCGCTATTCTGACTTTATAATGTTACTAATCATTGTACTGTCAATACATATGATGTCAAATGCAAAAAAACGTGTACTGTAAATCAATTTTTTTTTCAGACATTTAATTTTGTTCTTTTGTGGTTTTGAGCATATTTTTAATTTAACAAATTTGTCAAGGAAACAATGAGTTTTATTGTTATTTTACATGTTCATGTAGATTTTTTTCAGAAAGTGTTTCCTATCAATAACAAAATTAAAATCCAATAATTAATTAATCCATTTACATTCTACTGTTAGTAATCTATGTAATGGTGATGGTAAATAAACAACCGATTCCTTTTGTTATCTGTTCACGAGCAGACTCACACAGTTTTGGCATTTTAATAGCATGTCATGTGACTTACAATCATATATTGAGGAAAGGTAACAGATGACAATAAATTTATGTTGATATCAGTGTCATATCTGCTATCGTTGTTCTTGTGGTTGCAATCAATAACATAAAATAATCCTATCCAGTCATCTTCAAACTACTGTAGTATATTTGCAGATAAATGTAATGAATAATTACTGAAGATGATTATTTCCTATTTCTGGTTGAAACTGATATTCTTTTACGCTCAGAACCACAGTTACTTGAAGAAGTAACCGTGTCAGGACTGACATTCTGTGACATTTTGGTGACACATTTGCTAAAATTATATCATCTTTAACTTTTGATACAACTTGCATTTACTTATTCCATTCTATACCTTGTGTCTATGGACATGGCTATAATCATTGCATTTTGTTCTCTTTATTTACTGTTTCTCAGGTGATTATTACAGGTGTGTTTGGTGTGGTAGCCGGCAAAAGGAAACATTTTCCTTCCAAATGTACAGTAAGTGCCACATACCTGTAATTCTAACATTAGTCCATGGCATCTACAGAAAATAATAGAATCCCCTACCCACAGCGGCCTGGGATGAGATTTCTTACATGATTAAAAAATAAAATTTCTCATGAGTGTGAGTAATCTCATCTCTGGCCTTTTTTTTTAGCTCTGTTTAAAAAGTATCTGAAATACTTTTGAACAAATGATTGATGTCTCCCCAGGTGAGACATTTATTTTAACACATTAATGATACAAAAAGTTATGTTTTCAGTAATCATTCTGAATTGTTAGTTTGTTGAGTCTGTCCTCAGCATTTCTAGTATCACAGCACTTGTCTTTTCTGAAGCCATCTTTTAAAAACGTCACATTGATGACACCTGTACTTGTACTTCTAACTTGTATGATATGCATCATGCAATTGAAAAGTATTATGTGCGTCCATTCTACTACTGTAAAATCTGTATTAGAAGCTGCGGCTTCTATTAAAATGATACAATGCAACAGAGGGGATGCGGCTTCTATTAGAGCATCTACACATATGAGGAATGGTAAATGTTTGGTTCTAAATTGTTCAAAAAGAATGGGTGCGACTTATATTAGAGATGCAGCTTCTAATACAGATTTTACGGTATTACCTGTATTATCAAATCAGAGAATAGTTCAAAAAGACATTTCATATACTTGCAGTGTGGGATTGATTGTTCTCACACTCCTAGTGGCCAGCGATGTGAAAAACAGTTTTGAAACAATTATAAAAAGTGCTTTAGATCAGCTTATTTAATGAAAACCAAAATAGCGAACATTAAATGAAAGCATTATATGTCACTAATACATTTCATAATATGTTTCTTTCTTTGTTGCATGGACTACTTTACCACCATCCTTTGAAATATGCAATCAGGAATTCTGGTGTATTTTACTTTGTCAATTGATATCAGAACCTATCAAATGGCATATGTTTTTATACAGTAGCTGGCTCTCATAGATCATGTTGAATTCTCAATATGAGAAAAGTATCACTAAGATTCACATTTGACATTGTTATTATTTACTTTATTCAGATTATTTTTATAGTAATTTTGAATATCATCACCTTAATGGCATCATTAATTAGTTGGGTCATATCAATTCTGCGAATATTGGAATCGGCTTCGAAGAACAACGCTAAAATCAGCAGAGCTCTGTTTGCAATGATACTAATGGTTGGAGTGATTGAGATGTTACTAGCTTTATGTACTGTTGTTATGTACTTGTCTGGAGTGTGTTGTTATCGTCACATCACAAAACCTGTAAGTATTTTATTGTCTATTGTTTTCTCCAGTATATTACCACAATTTTTAACCTGTATATATGCATATGTCTAGATTTGATATGAAGTGATGACATTATCAGTACTGCTGCCATGGCAACACCAACCCTAGGGCATCAAACATTATTGTGGTCTATTATTTGTGAATGCACTTTTGTAAATGAGGTTTGTCTTTGATCAAAATAAGTTGTGTTTTAAAGTTGTATTCTCTGCCAAATTTTGACATGACATGTTGAGTAATATGTGTACTGTAATATACATTTATGGGATTGGCAGGATATCTTGTCTTGTTAGCAGCTGAACATCACAGAACAGTTTAGTTGCTTTGGTTGTGATTACCGGTAAGCATGAATCAAACATGGTTTCTTTGTTTGATAATAAAATATTGATCATATGACGCAATTAATATTCAATGTGAAGCACACTCATACTTTTTAGTTGTTTTCTGGGGTATTATCTCCCATTTGAATTGTTTTCAAAAATTGATACACTTTTTTTTTCATTTAAAATTTTTTTTTTTTTTACCAAAATCCAGACAAAAAAATTGTGGCATGTATATTTTTAACAAATGCATGTAGTGAAACAGAAATATTTTTTTTTCTGTGTTAAAGTAATAATAGCGTTCTTTTGTCTCGAACCACGGTGCGGGTAAACAAACTATTCACACCCAAAGGGAGGGAGTCAGGAAGTCAGACAGATTACAATACCGTCAAAATATTCATTAAAATCGAAAAATTTATCGTCATGCAAAGCGATACCTCATTGTATGACTTCACTTTGACTTCAAATTCGGGCAACCACAACGTAAACAAACATGTAAACAAAATTATCACTATTAAATTTGGGTTTTTTGAACCCTGATACGCATCACAACCAGCCTACCAACTCATAAACATCCAGTTCCTGCAATTCAAAGATTAATATCGGGAATTATGTTAATGTTCTCGTTTTAATAGGGAAAAAACTTCGCATGCCAACATGCTGACATCGCTAAACAAATCTTGTCATAATGGCGTCGTTCATGTTAACGTAGTCGATCGAAAAACCTGTGATATTTCTAATTCTTGGGGGGTTCATAACAGTTCAAGTCAACTATACAACAACTAATGACTTTATTCTATCCAAAAGTTTATAACAAATAACAAATCAGCCCACCAATTTTTAATGATATGTTTCGATCATAAAATGTCAAAATCGACGACAAATATTGGTTTTGTGCCGAGAAGTATGGTAAATAAAATAGAGTTCATTTCAATCACCCATAAAATCAAAAACCACAAATATCTGGGTAAAGGTATGAAAATTTGTTGCGAAAATGTGTCGCTGCTGGTAAAATAGATGAATTAAAGAACTACTCGCTGACTAAAATATGACCTTATACAGATATCCTGATTAAAAAATTATGTGAAAAAGCATGAATTCTGGAATAAACAACTAAGTTGTAAAAAATTACATAACACTGACGATGTCAAATCACGTACTGATCACGTGACAATGCTTTGCCTACACCCGCAATGCGCCTTTGCCAGGGAAGGAGGCCAATTCACACCTAATACAATGACCGTTTCTAGACTGGGGATAGAGGGACTGTGGCCTGGCTGATTATTTATTGGAGGTTTGGCTATGAGTGCTTTTAATCATTTGCATAGCATATGTTTATGAAACTCCTCATTGTTTATTTACAAACTGATAACTTTAATCTCCAAAAACATCACTGTTTATCAAATTTTATTTTGCAGCTTTTTATGTGTTTTTTATGTCTATGAACATTGTAAACCATATGTATTTATTTGATAATACATGGAATATTTTGGCTCAGAAATACATAGAAGAGAAAAAAAAACTTTAGTGAAAGCTGAAGTTGATACTCATTTAACTTTCTTTCAATATAAGGTATGTCAAAGCAATCATTGTCAAGAGAGTTCCAGCAATGAATCAGGTGACTTCTACACCCTACAAGCAGGTGACCAAGTCATTGAAGCCGCCGATGGTGACATTGTTATAGTCTCAGGAAGTATGTACATCATTTCACTAGGAATAAAGGGGTACCATATGTTTAGAAAGGGGATGTTTTTGAAATTTATACATATTTATACATATACAACTGTTTGGTCTGGCAAAAGATTGTGTTTATATCTCAATTAACTTGCAGATAACACAATACAAAATAATTAAATTATTAACACAACGTCCTTGAAACGGTACTTTCAAGTAAGGGAGCGCTGCATGGAGCAGACTGACAACTGACAATATTAGAATACTGTTGTTGAACTTGAATAATGTTTAGTATTATTGCCATGGTTACTAAACTGTGTTATTGCTATAACTGTCATCATTTGTTTGTTGCATGAGGGAATATCAGAATTAGTCTAAATTACATCAAAGTTGTATTTTGCAAGGGAAATATTTTTTTAAATTTCATGAATCAGTTAAAATCCATGTTTTTTTAGCAGTGAACATTTCACCAGGTTCTTCAAGATGGAGTCAAAGCAACTTTCAATAACTCATGATACAATTCCTAGTGTTGGCAATTATTTTACAGTGCTGGCATAATTCTGGTAACCTCTTTGAAAATTTATTATTTCAAAGTGAGAAAATTTCCCGATATGATAATTTTATGGCATTCGTATCAGTGAAAATCACAATACAGTGTGTCAGTGACTTTTGCAAAAATTGTTCTTAAAAAAGGCTATAATGAATCACAAAACATCCCTAGCAGCAAAAATTAATCTATGTACAGTAATTTGAACTTTGATTTGTCATGGAGGTAAAAACAGATATCTTCCATGGTATGTATATAGTAATCAATTTTATATCTCGGATTTGTCAATCAATTAGATACAAGCTTATCAAATTCATATACTACTATATACAATACATGTGGAGGGCACACACATATTCATGTAGTCGCTTTTCTGACATTCAGGTACATGTTATTGCACCATTTAGCTTCAAGTTCAAGTTCAGACTGATTAAAAGTTGTGTTCTTGGCATCAATGTTCTAGTAAAAACAGATAGATTAAAAGATAACATCAAATCAGGACTTGTAGACTGACCCATATTTCGGTATATTTCTACAATGTCAATATCAATCTTGTCTCCTATCACTGTGTGCTTTTCTTTATTACAGGTCATGTGATACATCCTGGAACGAAAAAAATAAAAATTGTTGGTCGAGAAAGCACATCAATACCGCCACCATATGGATTTGGAAGTATTCCTGCCTCAGATATACTCGAACCCGAGCTACCAGTTTATACATCTGTGGAAAATGAAAATATACCATCAACATCACACGGGGTGGTGGAATCAACATGTCCTGATTTACTCACCAAACAGCCGCCAAGTGATTTTGTGGAGGTTGAGGATTCTCAACTCTTTGGCGCACTCGAGTGATCATTTTGAGAGAGTTGACACTTGACTATACGAAAGAAATAAACATGTCTTAAACACTCCACATTTGAATACAAACAAAATATGTATATTTCACTACAGTGTTTTTCATTCAAATACAAACAAAATATGTATATTTCACTACAGTGTTTTTCATTCAAATACAAACAAAATATTTATATTTCACTACAGTGTTTTTCATTCAAATACAAACAAAATATGTATATTTCACTACAGTATTTTTCATTCAAATACAAACAAAATATGTATATTTCACTACAGTGTTTTTCATTCAAATACAAACAAAATATGTATATTTCACTACAGTGTTTTTCATTCAAATTTACATATTTATGCAGTGACTATTGGATCAAGTTTAACCGTGAAAGCTGAACTGTCAGTATTTCTGAAATAGTTGGATGATCACTATTAAGCCTATTTGGTGAATTCATTTTGATTCTCAGACATGAAATCCTATTGAACTTACCCGGAGAAATTTACACTTTATTTTTGTCTTTAACCTATAAACAGTAAGACGATGTGGCATGTATTATATTGGCTGCTATACAAATTTGTCTATATGTTTACAATCATAACCTTATTCTTGTCACAACATACTGTGATTATGATGGTGAATCCAAACATCAAAATATTGACAGAATATATATGAAAAATTTTAAAGCGTGTCATGAAAATAAAAAGAATTTATTTAGTGAAAACAAAGAAAATATCACAAAACACTGAACAAAGCATTGTAGATTATCATGTGATAGCAGAATTGATGTTTTGTTACATAAATTAAGTTGTAGCAACTGAAAAAATATCCATTGGCTCCACACAGGTGCACTAATGGGGACAATAGAGTTAATTATTTGTAAATTGCCTGAAATGTGCTCTTCATTCAGTCAAGTAATCCCAATAAAAACAAGCCATGAATGGCACAGTCTCCGTTAGTTATCAAATCTAAGTTGTATAGTTTTGTTTATAGTAATATAATACCAGTACTTGTCCATATTGAGAGATATTAATTAAAAAAAATGGCCACTGGTCGGCCATTTTGAAACCGATCTTGAAAACAAAATGACTTGCACCATGGACCCATAATGTCCAATGTATGTACTAAGTTTGAATGGATTCCATCCATAAACGACCAAGATCCGGTTCCGGAAAGCCAGAAATGCTTGATTCTGATGATTTATAATTACAAAAATTTCGGTCATCTTGAATCAGATTGTGAAACAAATTGATATATCTATAATATTATGCATGTATAAGATGTAGGTTCAGATACAAAATGGGGACTACCGGTAATACAACAGTAGTCCAATCATCACACAATGGTTTATGTGTATCTATTACAACTGTGTGATCATTCATTTTTTTGTATGGTCAACACAAAATTTCTCTTTTTCAAGAGTATTGCTGTCCATTGAATTAACAAATGGGAGCCTTTTTTAAGGTGTCTTTGATTATTTATTTAATGAGCTGCATTTACATCAACATACATGATACAAAGTATATGAGATATGTAATTAGATGCACAAATGAGAAATGCAATGCAGAATAATTGCGATTGGCGTCTTTTGTGTTGGGGCCCCAAAAAAATTTGTTTTGTTGCCCTCAGCGACCGACCGACAAACATGAAATATCGGGTTGCGTTTTTTTTGTTTTAATAGGCCCAAATATTAAAAACCTCATCATTTTAAGCAGTAAAAAAGTGTTTCCTCTAAAAATTAACGATCCCGGGCTGTTGTTTTATTCCCAGGGTCCCCGGGGGGGGGGGGGGGTGTAAGTGGCGACTTTGAACCTCGGGTTGATCTGCATTTCTCTGACATGTTCCGATTACAATGAAGTCTGAAAAGCAAACACGTCTTTTGCATTTCATGACATTTACGATTCGACGGATAGTTGGCGCACAATATTAAAAATATCGCCGCACCTAGTATTTTCTTAATTAAATAAAAAACATTGTTCAGAAACAATACGTTTGTTGTAGTAAATATAATTTACACCACACACAAAACTACGGCTTTTGCACGTTGTTTTAGCGCTGTCAGTATTCTCACTTCCGGGTTTGTCATCGTGTGTACGTACATGTGTACAGCGGTAGCGAGCATGACGAACACGTTTGCTGTAATTTTAAATTAAATTTAAAAACAAATCCGACCGACCGACCCACCCAATGTTTCAATTTTCCGACTTCAGGGCAAAATAAGTTTTTTTGGCCTTAATATATCAGCTGTATTATCATTTTCAAGTGTATCACACTGACCTGCTGTCCTAGCATTCATATCCCCCAAGATGCAAACATTTCCATGATTAGAGAAATGTAGAGTTTCCTCCGTAATAATGCCAACCTTACCCTCAAACATATCAGCAACACGTATAAATATACAGATCCCTTTATCTACAAAGTTAGAACGCCCGGTAGTATTGACTGCCTAAAGTCCACAAACCACCACCAGAGAGCAGTAGACAGATGGATAGATAGAATTTTTTATTTGGAACGTACCAATGAAATCTTGAGTAAAATCCAAAAATAACAATAACAAAACAAAACATTCAGAACAACAAAAACCTACAGTACTAAAACATATCAAGAATATAGAAAATAAATTTTGCAAAAATGCTAAGAATGAAAAAATCATTACTTGAAACAATAATAGGAAATAATTCATCCATGCTAAAATCTTCCAGCTTTGGGGCATAGATGTATAAAGCTGCAAGGAATCTAGATCTTTGTTCTTTGATTTGACAATTATTAAAATATAAAATGTAATGTTTCTCATTCCCTACTTCATTGCATTCATGGAGATTACATAGCCTGTTTTCCTTCAAAATGCCTTTATGTCTACCGGATTCAATGGGAAGAAAAGTTCTAAATTTAGTATAAGCTATTTTATGATTTTTATTTTTAATTTTTCCCCAAATAATGTTCAAATTCAAAATTTTCTTTAGCACACCTGTCAAAGTCAAGCTTACAATTGTTCAACAAATTGTTTTTTCACTTCATACGGTACAAACATTTGAGCTTCTCTTTAAAATTATCACAAAAATTATTCAGATGTGGGTCTGAATTAGTTAGATCTGTTATGACTAGTAATTTTTGTATAAAGTTAAGCCATGGGTCATGCACAAGAGTTTTGGATTTTTCATAGGCTGCATCAATGATAAAATTGACCTAATTCACCTCTACATGGGTCATTAGATGCCTTCCTGTGCACATTCAGAACTCGTTTACAGAATTTAATATGAAGTTTTTCCGGAATTAATTTACTATTTGTTTGAAAAACAATGCCAAGGTAATTATAATAATTAACACACTGTAATTTAGTGGCGTCCAAATAAAACTGAAATTTGTTTTCTAAGTTTTTACCTAGTCTATTAAAAATAATGATTTTGCTTTTGTTAATATTTACTTTTAAATGCCAATTGTTACAGTAATTTTGGATTGTGTCATGAATTTGTTTTTGCGTATCTGTTGACCGACTTAATTAGTTGATTATTAGCGAATTGCTGTGTTATGTCTGTCATCGTTTAGGCCTATTTGAAGTTTTGGACGGAACTTGGCTCAGTGATTTGGAACTAATTACCAGATAACCGCCGCTTTTTAGACTACTTATTCTGACAGTTTATATCCATAGTTATTAA